TCCTCCTCCTCCTCCTCCTCCTCCTCCTCCTCCTCCTCCTCATACTTACAACTCCTGGTCTTGGGTAAGGCACCTTGCCCTCATAAGCTGCCCACTGATGATCAGGACCACCTTTATGAGCAAATGGTCCATTAAAAACTTCCCAGATATCTGCCATACGATAGACACAGATGGCAAAGCCTTGGAAGACATTGCTGTAATGAGAAAGATTTGCCCAAATATTGCTTGTAACACAGGATTTTAATTGAGATCTGTTTCTTATCTCTTTAGGCTGCATTTCAGAAAGAAAAAATGGTTTTTAAGTAAACAAGTGTCTAGAAGGTTATAGTTTTGGGTGCTTTGGGAAAAATAATTCATACTGATTGAGTCCTACTGAAGTTAGTTGAAGAAAAAGCAAAGTAAGTCATGTTGGGTATAAGAAAAATTACAAATTCAGTATTAAGGACATTTTAAAAAGATCACTATTAAAAATAATTATAGACAGAACTACAAACCACGGACAGAAACATCTCACCTGATGGTGCTAAACAGTGCATAGACTTCAGGGTTCTTGCCATCTTTAGCCCTCAGAAGAAAGACGTCCTCTGTTGAAAAGTGGATGATTGAATGGGTTCTGGTCACTGTTCTATCAATATACTCATTCTACACAGACATTTTACTAAGGTGAACCTCATGGCCTAGAAGATATTTGTGCTGTCCATTTTGTTTCACTGCTACCAATTTCCAACTCTTGCAATACCACTGCCCAACCTAAAAGAAAATTGCAGGGTACCACACTCTAGTGCAGGAGCATAAACTTTTTCTGGACTGAGGGTTGTGCTGGTCTTTGGGTGCTGTGCTGGAGAAGTGGCCACATTCCAAAAAGTAGTTGGGTACAGCCAGAACAAGACTACAATTGATTTCATTTATATGTAATTAAACATCATTAATATGATTACTCTTCATCCATGCATTTAATAATTTCCCCTTTCTCTTACACCAAAAATTATAATTCAGTAATTTTCTGAAAGTCTTTGGAGATTGCAGACAAATCTTTTGGGGGCTGCATAAGCCCATGGATCTCATACTATAAAAGTAAATTCCTAATCCTCTACAAACCAACCAACTGTGATAATGGAATATAAGTCGCACCCAGTTCATCAAAGTGTGTGTCAATGCCATCTGGTCCTGGAACAGAGCACACAAGACGGGCTTTGTTGAAAGTGCTCCATTTGTTGACTAGCACTCGTTGTCCACCAGCATCGTTCTGGAAGAAGAAAAGTAAATATTGCTCAGAAGTGAAGGCCACTGATCCAGTGGTGCTTAAAAGTTTGTGAATCCTTTTGAATTTTCAATATTTCTGCATAGATATGACCTAAAATGTGACCTGTTCTCCACACAAGCCCTAAAACTAGATGAGAACCCAGTTGAACAAATGACTCAAAAACATTGTACTTGTTCTGCTGCATTTTCTCATAATATAATTGCTAATAACCAAATCTTAGTGCCTAAACCAGCTCCGTATTTATGTCATATTACAGTCCCCAAAGTCAGGAGAGCCTTATCTCTAGCCCGATTTAATGTCCTCCCACAACTGTTTTGGAAGGGAAATATAGGAAAACTCCATATGAAACTCCATATTGCCCCCGTGACCACGGGTGCCATAGAAACCATAGCCTATGTTCTTTTGTATTGTCAGTTCTACAGGGACATTTGCCATCAGTTGATTACCCCTCTTTTATTTAAATTTCCAGGGCACTCTGATTTTTATCTGCATTAGCAACAACCAAGATAAATTTATTTCTCTAAAAGTAGCAAAATACTGTTACATTATGTGTAAGCTTTGCCCACAAATGGTTGCCAACAGTTATTGATGTTATGGGATAATTTTGCTTTGTTTGTTTTATAGAATGTATTTTTATTGGTCAATGACCAAAATAAAATTTCTGTCTATCTACTTGTTCATTTATTCATTGAGGGAAATGACCCAAAGCTACATATTTGTGTGTGGGAAAAGTATGTGAACCTTTGTTTTCAGTAATGTGCCTCCCCAGCAGCAATAATTCCAACTAACCGTTTCTCATAGCTGTTGATCAAATTTTTAAACACCACCTGTACTTCTGACAAACAATTATTTACTGTACAAATAAGCAATCCTCCAAGAAGAAGCACAACTAAAAATGGGAAAACCAGAAAAAGATAGTCTATTTCATTCTAGTCAACCAAGTTTTTGTTCTTGCAGTCACAAGTCTTCAGGCATCCAACTCCATTTGGGGAACAACAGTCATTATCCTGGGTGGGTTTTAAAGTTTTAAAGTTTGATAAGCCTGTGGAAGATAAAGTTTTGGGGCATTAATGGTCATTATGTGTACATGACAAAGGGGTGTGCAAAACATTTCCACTTTGAAATGCCATTGTTTTCCAATCAAAATAGTTCTTTTGCATTCAAAATGGGCTACTTTTGTGTTTCAAGCTTCACAGTGATCATAATAAATTTGTGGCATGACTACTGCTTTCCTTTCCTCTCCCCCTAAGCAAGTGATGGAAGAAGTAAGTAGTTGAAGCTGAAACGTGAAATTCCATCCTGAATATGCTTTCCAAATTCAGTTTGGAAAGAAGAAACTGACTTGCAACTAGACCAAATTCTGACCAGCCTCTAAGCTATATTTGGAAGCCTGAAGGATAAATGAAAACATTTGCCTCTGCCCATTCACTGCAATCTTAGGCTGGGTTTTCATGCATTGATAACTATACTGTCCAGGAATAAACTACTTATCATACCTGGATATCTTTCTTATTATATACTCCTTTCAACCCAGAACTGCACATCAGCATTAAAAAAAAAAATCGGACTTGCTAGGTAATAAGAAGCCACAAATCCTGAGTGATATGATAAGCTTTTCATTCATAGTTACTAAAGCTGTTGCCACTGCTGAGAAGTATCAAGCAGGACTAAAAAGCTATGTACTCTGCTATGTATCTGGCACTGGAACCATAATTGTGATTGTTGCCTCCAAACACAAGCCAGGTCTCAGCTAACTCTGGCCTGAATACCAAATGACATCTACCAAATTCCATAAGTGTACCCTGGCTCCCAAGGACATTTTCCCAGCCCCAAATATTTATTCAGGACCAGCAAGGACTTAGAAATATTGAGTTTGACCATTATATTATTGCCAGTTGATTTTATCAAACTAAATTTTCAAAAGAATTTCATGGTTGCTGGTGATAAAACAGATTATAATAATGAAGATGAGAAATGTATCAGGGAGAGGGAGAAAAATATCAGAACTGTTTTACTATTGAATATGTTTTCCTTCACATTAGTTTTCCCAAAACCTTAATTGCTTGTTTTTCCAAATATAATTATCAAAGTACAAAATTCATCTGTTGTTTATACTGATGTTGCTTGAGAGATAGATGTTCATGATTAGAATAGTGCCCCAAATCAATTCACCTTTTATTATAAGAATTCTGCCTCCCCCCCCCACCCTGATACTTAGCCAGATCTTCATATGAACAAAAACTTAGGTATAAACCAGGATAACCCACAAATATCCTGAATACACATTCCAAATTTCACCATTATAGAATCAACCTACAATTGAACATGAACGCCAAACACTAAAAGCAGAACATTTCATCACAAAACAATATGTAATATGAGTTAAGGTTATCCAGATAAAAGTATATTTTTTCTTTTCTTCTGTGTTCCACCCATGACCCACTGTGATCTGGTGCAGAAACCTTCACATCTCTACTCCTAAAATCACTTTAGATATTACATCACATAGGACAGAGGTGGCAATTTAAGAGCCACAGTGGCATGTTGCCCCCATTTATTTGCAGCTTTCAGAGTTCCATACTATTAACTTCCAAACTTCAGTGACACATTTATAAAAAAAAAGGCAGTGTGGATTCCCACAGTGGGAAGTGTAATGAAGTGGGAACCGTAATGAAATGGTAAATTATTTGCATTCTACTGAAATAAGTAAAGGATTAACTTGGTACTCATAGGAAAGCTGCAACATAAAGCTAGGGAGGTCATCCAAACAGTTTGGGTGTGTGTGAAGTATCAGGAACAGACTGATGATACCCAGCTTTATATACCATCCACACCAGGCCAGAGATGCTGCAGAAGTCTGGAGGCTGTCAAAGGCCGGACTGGACAAAACAATCTCAGACTGAGTCTCAGCAAAATAGAGTTGCTGTTTCTTTGGAAATGTTACTTATTTATTTAGATTTAGGCACCACCCAACTCCAAGGCAACTCTGAGCGGCTCACAATTTAAAATAAATGACAATGTGCAAAATATAATACGTAATATAAAATATACAAAAAGCAGTATCTGTCCAGACAGCACATCCTAAATCCCAAAGCTCATCTAACAAGGAGACCTCATCTACCCTATCCCAAAGCCCTGGAGGACAGCCAGGTTTTCAAGGCCTTCTGGAACACCATCTCTGGGGGATCTCATTCCAAGGGCAGAAATGAGTGCTTTAACTCAGTTATTATTCTCGACAGAGGATCACTTCCCTGAAAAAGCTAATCCAGGGTTTGAGAGGTCCTGCTAGATCACCTGTTGAAGGCTTTATTCCAGAGTGCTTTCACCCATCTTGAATCAATGGCCAGTTGTAGCCATTCCCTGATTGAGAGGCCCTGGAAAGAGTGACTGGTACCCTCATAGGTTTTTTTTTTTTTTTTT